TTCATCTTGGGGAACCTTACTGTTAATTATTCGGCCTTATTAAAATTATGTTGGTTTTGTTTGATCTTCAGCAGTTTTCTTTGTATGTGCACATTAACTGGATGTTACATGTGCTTTTTTCACTAGGTCTGGATTTTTTTAACATGTGCAGTTGTAGCCAGGAAGTGGCTGAAGGTTTTTTCCTCCTCTTTTCCTCATTAGGAGCTTACTACAAGCAGTCACCTTAAACTCTTTGTGTGTAAATGAGGCAACACGATCTAGCCAAAGACTTAATATAGTGCATTTAAACTGTGAAGCCTACAACAGAATAAGAAATTGAGTTTATTGTACCTGGTTGTTTCACAAAATTGGGAATGTAGGGGTTTTTTGAACGTTATTTAAGCGGCATTTTGCGTAGGAGAAAGGCAGATGTTTGCTCTCCTGAGCTGCAATAGTGTGTATACTTAAATTCATTTGATGCTTTGTTTATGGATTATACTTCTATGCAGAGAAAAAAAAGTTACGGCTTTTTTATGTTGTGGTAGTTCATGGTATGTTATAAGCAGAAAGGCTGAGTGTGCTTTTGTGTCTTTGCTTATACAGCTAGTATTCCTTTACCTTCGTTACAGCTTTAAAAGCCTACATCAGTGAGACTTCAGTGCCACTAATTCATTTTTCTGTGGAGTAACTCATTGCACATGTCACTGCAGTCATGAGCATTATTGTACTATTTTGTGTACCAGTTTTTTTCTTTAAAATAGTCATACAGGCTTCTTATAATATGTTTTATTTAAAAAAAAAAAATCCCCGCCACCTACAATAACAAAAAAACCCCCCTTCTACTGTTAAGTAATGAGGTTTTTAAACTGTAGCACACATTTCTGTTATATAGGTAGCACATTTTCTGACCCTTCAAATAAGAAGTTAATTACAAGAGAGGGCATACTCCAGGCTAGTGAATCTATTCCTTAGAGAATTAAAATTTATTAAAAGAGAGGGGTATGTTTATAGTGCTTCTGTATTTGTTCTTGCAGCACTTTTTTTTGCTGCAAGAGGGCTGTCCTCACAGAGAAATGCTTTTAAGTTTTGTCTACTTACTTAAAAAACCAATCTTATATATGGAACGCATTAGGTTTGAGTTGAACATTAATTGATTGTGTGGTCAATGCAGGGAATAAAAAATGTAAAGCCTTATACATAAAGCGAACTGTGCACAGATGCATGCTGCATTGACAGAGCTGGAAATGATATACTATCTGAAACAGTGGGACTACTATCTCTTGTTATCACAAAAGCCCAAATGTCCCAGTGTGCCTGAGTGTGTGTCAGTCGCTCTATGTCAGTCGAGCTTAAATCTCTGGGTATTTGGCTGCATGCCATACTGTTGTTTGACAGTCCATTTGGATTTATAATGTCATTTAAGATTTCTAAATGTGGCCGTGACACTGATGCTTTGAGGACCTTAAATTTTGCGATATTTGGCCTGCTTGAGTATTGGTGAAATAAAATGCCTGCCTAAGAAAGCCTGAGTTTGTATAATATCGATCATGATCTCTTTTAACAAATGGATAAAAACAGTGAAGTTTCTGGGAAGGTAAGATAAAGCAAAGCAGCCCAACAGAGCACAGAGCTGTCCACGTACTTGTTGCAGTTGAACTCTTTGAGAATCCTGTGAATCCCTTTCTTAAGCCGCAATCAAAATTTTGTCATGAATTTGCAAGGCAACCAGGTGCTGGTAATGTGAAACAATTACCATTTGACATGATGTAAGGTCTGCTCTTATTTACAGAAAATGTCATTTGATGTTGTTTCCTTTTTTTCTCATTTTGCAGATGTGGGTGGTTGCAGTTCTTTCCGATCTCACACAGATGTTGTCATTGTCTATTGTGCACGGAGTGCTGCTTGGGGTAGTTTTGCTGGGCTGAAAAGGGAACAGCCTGTCTATGTTCTCCTCACTGCATGAAGTACAGCTTGGAGAGACAAAGGACCGCTCCTGCTTTTTTTTTTTTTTTTTTTTTGGCAGGATGTGGCACACGTTCTTCAGTAATAGAGTTTTGCTTCAGGGTTGGTGGGGTTTTCGGTCTTGAGGCCCGAGATGATGTTCCTGGCAGTGCCACTGCATTCCTTCCAGTAATAAAATTGAAGTAGCGGAAACAATGCATTTATTCTGTTTCATATAATAAAAGAAATACCTTGAAGCAGAATGTCACCTTCAGTAATCAAGGATGTGGATTTCCTCCTTACTGGTGCTGGCAGTCTTTCCTGATTTTTCTAAATTGTTTATGAGAAATTCATACAGGAACTTACCTGAATTGGGAAAAAATGTTTAGTATATATATACTAGTGAACTGTTATTAATTGATTACTTTCTGTTAGATATGCTAGTTCATACAATAAAACTTGTGTATGATTTGCGTACGCATGTGTGCATATCTGATTTATGCAGAATCTGGAAGGTTTCCTGAATAAGTCAAAGTTGTAGACTATTTTTAATTTAAAGAAGAAACTGAGTACTATCTGGAGGGAAATCAAGCATTACAAACCTAGACATTGGGCATGCTGTGAGGACAGTTGTTTGTCATTGTTCTTTATTTCAATGTTATGTGTGTTGTCTATGTAGTCTTTTAGTTTAGAAGTAATGTAGCTGTGATCCAGAAAATGAATGTGCAGGGACATTTTCTTCCTTTTGATTTGTTTCCTTTGTATGTTGCTGTAATACCAGATTTTGTGATTCCATATAGTATTTTATTCTCTCAAAGAACTGTTTTGCTATTGGATTTTATTCTAGCACATAATCAAAGGAATTAAGACTAGCAACTTTTTGAGCCAGTCCTGCCCTGTTACATGGGCATAACCATCTTCCAGAATGAATATGCTGAGTAGTTGTTAAATGCTGTTATTATCAGTGATGATATACAAGCATGAAAGAATCCAGCTTTGTTTTCAGGGCTCATCTTAATTTGGCAGGAGTAATAATCAAAGGGAGAGATAAAAGGAACATTTTGAATGCTACTGTGATGCTCGAGGTATGTCATCTGTGCTGTGGGGAAATTGTACTTATTTTCACACCTGTTTCTTTTCTAGAAGAAAACTTCTTGTGTGAAAATACGGTAATTTTCATTAAACATTGTTTTAAATGCCATTATATTTTTATTAAATAACGAGTACTCATGCCTTTCTTATAGGTAGGCTTCTGTTCCACTACATGTGAGAAAGTTGAGGCATAAAATCCTTTTGTCTAAGGAGTTACCTGTGGGCACCTTTTTATCTCTTAGGGTACCAGTCCTGCATTTGTAATTTCAATGTTACAACCCCTTCTTTGTGCTGGTTATGAATGAGACATTAGAATAATGAGATAATTACTATACTACAAAATAAAAGCAACAGAAAGTCCTTGTGATCTGTTAAAGAATGAAAATGGCTGGTGGAAGGTCTTGTTTCAACCTTCATGCTGATGCTTTTATCTGAAAGTAATCTGATGAAAAAACACCTCCCTTTTGTGTTTTATCAGCTGTGTTAGGTCAGTCGCAGGCATGGAACACTGGAGCTGTAGCTGGTTACCTGAAATACCTATTTATGGAAATTTTCTTTGCTAAAGATCTGATTGCTTCTGTTCTTCATCTTTAAATTGTTGCCCTTGGGCCAGCCCAACTTGTTTGTGTTAAAAATCAAAATAACTCAAAAATAGCATCAAATTGGTATTTTTAATCCTTGGTCAAAATATGATTGAATAAGATCAGGATTAACATTTTGGAGTTCATGGTGAATGAGATGGTATTTTAATCAAAGTGCATGGTATTAGATAAGAAACTTTAACAGGTACTGGTTATAGTAGTCTTGTTACTAACTTCATGGACATTGTGTGGAGATAGAAATGACTAACTTTCAGGGTAAAACCCCTTCTTTGTAATGACAGTGTAATCGCTGCTCTGGCAGCTTCAGCTGTCTTTTGTGTCTAGCAGAAGTAGCACTGTCAGCATTTTCAGTGCAGGATTTCCTGTTCTTTTCTGTCTAGATTAGAGTTATAGAAGTATGCTTTATGTAATTCACTTGTAAGAAGTTTTTATTATTGTTTAAGTGGGGGTGTATGTGTTCGGTAACAGAAGCTTTTGTATGCTCATTTATGCTAGTAATAGTTGTCTGTTTTGTACACAGAAGTGAGTGTGTGTGTGTGTATGTGTGTAAAAGCAAATATATGTAAATATACAGAAGAATGAATGTATTTGGATTCAAGAGCCAAGTATTTTTAGGAAAGGGAAGTTGCTCCTGTAAAACAAGTTTTATCTTTTTGAAAAAGATACATATCACGTGTTTGGTTTTAATGTTTTCAATTGCCTTATTTATGTCCCTGTTACTGGTGAGAAATTTTGTTTCCCACAAAATGAGTGGGGGTGAGACTGTATTTCAGTATGAACATACAGTAAAATTGATATGAAAAAGTCAGGACATACCAAGTGTTTTGACATAGAAATAAGCTGCCGTGTGTAGCTTCGTTTGCATTGTGCTTGTAGCTCCTGCAGTAAGGCGCAGACTTTGCTGTCTACTTTGCATTTGTTATGAATTTGTTATGAAAGAATATGGGTAAAATCACGCACCTGGATAGTCATTACAGAGCCACTGAGACGTGGTGGCATGTGTGTCAAAGACCTAATGTAAGAAGGCATTTTGCTTGACAGCATTAATTGCAATAATTCATCCTTGTTAGTCTTGCCCATATGTGGCATTTGTACAGTATGTGACTTTGAAGGTAATTAATGTACTCTTTAATTTGTTCCTGTAGCATAAGATGATGATCTTAATGTAAGTTCTTGGATTCTGTATCTTGTGTTTTAAAAGAATGAAAAACACAAGCATTTAAATTTGTCAGGGCAAGCTCTAGTTCAACTGTCAAGGATGGTTATTCCACATATGAATACCTTTGCTACTTTCTCTTGATCTTCATGTGTGTTGTTATTCTATGTATATATAGAACTTACACTGTTTGTATTTTTGACATGTTTTTTTTTTCTCTTCTCCTTTTCCAGGTGACGCAGGAGCTGTAGAAGGGAGACCTTGTGGCTCGCAATCATGCCATTCCCCTTTGGCAAGTCCCACAAGTCTCCTGCAGACATAGTGAAGAACCTGAAGGAAAGTATGGCAGTTCTAGAAAAGCAAGATATCTCTGACAAAAAGGCAGAAAAGGTACAGTTGGGACTTTCCAATTGCTGAACAGTAATTGAAACGAAAAAAAAACAACAAAAAAGAAATTTACAGCTGTTGAAACTGAATCAATGAGACATTATTTTGGGGTTTTATACTCTGATAGAGGGTAAGTTATTATATACCTTTGAACGGGTCTGTTTGATGTTGGTTGGCTTTGCATTTTTATGCCACTGGCAGCTGATATGATCCTTGAAATAATTTGGTTTGGAACTGTAGAACATTGCATTCTTTAATATAAGCAGCTCGCGGCCATAGAGTGTTCTGGTACTTATGCCCACTGTAGTGCCTTTACTATCTTACGGTAGTTCTGTTTGTGCTTCTGCATGCAAATGTTCAGAGTGTCTCTGTTACTGAAACCGAGGAACTTTGCGTCTCCACAGATGTCAGTAGAGGGTACACTTTTGCCTTTCCTTGCCTTTCCTTCAGTCCACAGGAAGATGTGGTGAAAAGTTCCTGTGCTAGTGCAATTTCCTTTAGATGGGATGGTTTGCTACTTCAGGATCTGTACCTGTCAGCAGTCGTTTACTTCTCAACTGTTAGTCTTGATAGCTTTACTAAAAATTACCTTCAAGTTCAGCTGCATCCCACCTAGTGACTTGTATGACAAGGTATTTACTGTTTAGATGAAGTTTTTCCTGATAAACGCAGCACAAGGGCATAGATTTCAATACTTAAAAAAAACCCCAAAACCAAGCCGAAAAAGCAAACAAAACATCTCCCCCTCCAATCTACCAACTTTTGAAGCAGGCTATGATGCCCTCCTTGGATCCTCTCCCAGCACTATTTAACTGTTCTGTGCCATTCTTGGCATGATTAGAGTCCCGTGTAGGAGTTAGTCACCATCTTTTTCATTTTCGCCAGTATTTTTAAGCAGAGTGTGGCCGGCTTCTCTACATCCAATTTCACCTAGATTTGGCACAACTACTTCAAGTGCAGCAGAAACTGGGTCTTAATTGCCACCTTTATCCTGATATTCTTTAAAATGAGCATCTTCTACCCCAATGGCAGCACATGGTATGTTCCAGGTCTCTTGCAGTGTACCATAGTATTTTTCCCTGATGCTTTTTCTCTCTTGTTGGAGAGATGAATGTTATGGCTTGTTATGCAGGTCTGTGTGGAGGCTGGGAGGATTTTCATTTGCTGCTGCTTCTCTTTTTTCTCTAATAAAGACATCTGTCAGGAGAAGAGGGGTGGGTGCGTTCTGAAGAGTATGTGATGAGGCACGGCACTGTCGCCTCCATCTCAGCCTCGTTATTAATTCCTGGAGATGTGGCTTGATCTTAAAATCCATGCTCTTATGTGTCATCTTTCTCTTTTTGCTTAGACCTCTAATGGGGAACAGACCAGCTTCATTCCATTGTGCATAGCTGTGTACTGTATCGCATGCCTGTGTTCTTGATGCTGTAGCTGAAGATTATTATGTACCATTTACTTCTTGCTGGCCTTTAATCCCATACCTCCATGTTCTTTAAAGACTTTGTTTATCAGAGGCTGCTGCTTTGACAAGAAATAGTATGCTAAGCCGGTAGAGTTGTTTCTCCTGTGTCGTATAGGAAGCAGCACATTCTGCTTGAAGGAGAAAAGAAGGCAACCCATGTTTGCTACCTTAAACATGAGGAGAGTTAAATACTGACATTCACAAGACTGAGCTGGGTATGGTAGTGCGGACCTCTGTCATCCTCATTAGTCACAACGGAGACCAGTTGGTGAATCTGAACATTCACAACACTGGTGTCCATGTCTCCATACCGAGATTCTTCAGGAAATAGTTGTTTCATTGGCAAGCCAAGACTTCCATGAAGGTGGCTGTGGTTGTGGCAGTTTCTCAGATTCTCAGATTGTTTGCTGGTTTGATAGAGAAAGTGCTTTGATATCTTACGGACCAGTCATTACATCTTTGAAGGTACAGCTCTGATTAAACACACTGAATTCGTCCCCTCTTCCTATCCAGTCTATAGAAATGACTGGAGTGACTTTGGAGTTAAAAGACAGCAAGGCTCTGAGCAGTAGCCATTATTAAAAAAGAAGAAAAATTTCTGCATGCCCGTATCTCAATATTTAGGCATCTTTTCATCTTTCACTGCCCCTTTTATTATTATGATCCTTTCTGCAGTGTAACTTTCCAGCCTCCTTTGGAGAAGAATTCTGTGCTGATGAAAGGGTGAGTTCTGTGGCTAGTAGTGGAACAGAAATAGAAAACCTCACTGCATGTAAAGCACAAAAATTATTACCCCTTGGAAAAGTGGAGAATAATACTGGAATTTTTTTTTATAACTCCATTTTATTAGTGATTAGACTTGTGTAAAACTCTCTCTCTCTC